AAAAAAAAAAAAAAAAAAAAAAAAAAAAAAGATGTTTAGATGTTTTAAATGCCCGTATTCCCATTTACACGGAGATAACCACTATTAAAGCATGGTATATATACTTGATTATTTTTTATTTCCATATAATTATTAATAGGAATGGGACTGTACCAGACACACTGACACTTATGCTGTTCTCCCTGCATTTAGTTATAAGGTAGAAATCCATTTCTAGTTTGATCATGCCGGTTTCCATGGCTGCACAGAGTCCTCTGCAGGGATGAACATAATTGATTTAGCCAGCACTCTCCCGTTAGATATTTAACGACTCAGCCCTTTAAAATCAGATAATACAAGGGGAAGTATTTTCCAATCTCTAGAACGCTGCACAAATATACAAGAAACTATCAAGAAGCCCTGGTCTTAAGGCTGGGTGCAGTGGCTCACACCTATAATTCTAGCAATTTGGGAGGTCAAGGTGGGCAGATCACTTGAGGCCAGGAGTTTGAGACCAGCCTGGCTAACATGGCAAAACCCCATCTCTACTAAAAATACAGAAATTAGCCAGGCATGGTGGCTAATGACTGTAATCCCAGCTACTCAGGAGACTGAGGCACAAGAATCCTTTGAGCCGGGAGGTGGAGGTTGCAGTGAGCCAATATCGTATCACTGCCCTCCAGCCTGAGTGACAGAGTGAGACCCTGTCTCAAAAAAAATAAAAAAAGAAGCCCTAGTCTGACTCTTCCAGAAGGTGGGGTTTGGCCATCCCAACAGAAGCAGCTGACCAGGCCTCTGGGAACACCAGGCACAAACATTTGGCTATCAAAACAAAACTGAACAAAACAAAACAAAAAACCACTTTGTTGAAATACCAGATTGGAAAAGGTAAAATGGTCTGGTAGTGGCCTGGGCGCATGAGAGTTGGAGGAGAATGCACCTGCCTGCTCAGCAAGTGACCGTGGATTTGTCACACCCTTTCTCAGGGGCTTTGAAGCCTCATAAAGGAGGGTATCTTTTTATCCACCAATTCCAAAGTTAGTGATCTATCCCAAGAAAACAATCAGATAAATGGAAAAAAAAAAAAAAAGATGTATAAAGAAATTCACAGCAGCATGGCCAAAAAAAAAAAAAAAAAAATGCTGTAGATAATGACACAATCACTTATGTGGAATTAAAGAAATTACTTAAAGAAAAATTATGACGTATTCATTGCTAGGCAGCCATGACAGTGACGGCTGCAGAAGAATCCCTATTTACCAGCATGGATACACTTTTCCAATATAGCACTGGGTGTGAAAAGTTGTTTATAAAATGATACGTATAACATAGAATTTCTGGAAAGAAAACCTATGCGTGTGTGTGTGCACGCACGATTGCATATGCATGTATGCATGACAGAACCTGAGAAGGAAATACTTGCTTACCTCTGGCAAGCAGAGCTATGAGTGAATTTTATTTTTTGTATTTTTTGCTTTTATATTTGCAAGCAATACAGTTCAAAAAACAGAAAAACGATAAAGCTGTACGTATTTACACACATACTCCCACAAATGCTTCCCTATGTGGTCTGAGCCAATGCCACCCTTGAATGTTCCACACCTACCTTTACCTCTAGCTTTAAAAATCCAAGTGACAATCTGCATGTCGGGCACTGAGTTATATCCCAGCCTTAGCAGGGCTGGTCCCTAACAGGATTAGAACTCTGGAGTGTGTTTGACCAGATGTGCAGACTTGGAGATGATTCCTGGGGAGTTTTTCTCCTTGACACAAAAGGTCATTCTTTTGTGCTTGGGACAATAATGTCCCAGGCTGTTCAGGATAATTGCTGCTGAGGGCCAGGCAGAACCCGGCCTGCAGGCTTTAATCCTAGAGCAAATTTGTTTGAAGGCTACAGAAGTTTCATTTGTTCAGGAGGCCTCCCCAAGGGGCCCTTTTGAGCTCAGGGCACATTTTCTCCCAGAGGCCAGGGAACAGGCGGGATTGTGTGCCGGTGAGGCTGCAGTGCGATGTGGAGAGAAGAGATCTGAACTGGGGCGGGTGCCCTGGCTTCTGGCCTTGACTCTGCTAAGGCAGGGGCTATGCCACTGCTGGCAGGTGAGTGCTTCCCTTGGGCCCACCATTTTCCACTCTGAAATGAGGGCACAGAGGAGACCACCCTAGGATCTTTTTGCTTTTAAATATGATAATCCTGTGCATTGGCTGTGCATTTGGGGTTGGCTAGATGGGCGCAGAAATCTCATGTTCCCTGCGTGTAAAACAGGACGTCTACAGTTAGTACTTCCAGCTAGCCAGGCTTTGAGAGGCTCAGGGAAAAAAAAAAAAAAAAAAAAAAAAAAAGCATGAGACGACTCTGTAAATTCAATAAAGAAATAATGTCAACCTTTCTTTTTTAAGTCCAGGGAGAAAAGCCTTAGAATATCACTTTCTGTAAGATGGGCCCAGCGTTTTGCTTCCTGGATCTAATGACAGGCCGTCTCCCTGGCCGCCTTGTGGGCAGTACACAAAACACCGCACCTGTCTGCGTATTGAGGACCCTAGTGTGCAGGCTCCATGCCGAGGTTGTGGACCCTGATCCCTCCTTCACAACTAAGCACTGACCCGTGCCTTCCCCAGGGCAGGGGCCCTCACACAGGTTAGCAAAACCATGTTGCCATGTCTCTCCCCTCCCGCCCCGGGCCTTCTCACCTCCAGTCAACTTCCCCAATTACCGGGTCTACTACATAAACACACTTTTCTCACCGTCCTGGATGCCTTTGCTAAGTGGGCTCCAGTGTGTACATGTCCCCCAGAATGTGTCCCAGAACCTCCACAGGACAACACAGCCAGGTCCTCACCCGGGCCTCCTCCCCGAGCTCCAAACCTGCACACACTTGATAGAGACAGGCTCACAACCCAGGATGTGACTGATTAAGACATGTTAAAGCAACTCATTCCCTCTCTCTGTCACGCTCTCTCCTCCTCTCACACGAACACACACCCATCCCCTAACAGTCACACTCACATGCATACTGACATCACCACACGTATTCACACACTCCCTCAAACTCACACACACTCTCACACTCCCCCACACACTCCCTCCAACTCACACTCTCATACTCCCTCACACACTCCCTCAAACT